GCGGGCGCCCGGGCGGGGGGGGGGGGGCGCCGAGCTCCGGAAGACTTCCGCCTGCGGGTTGGAACGCCGCTCCAGCCGCGCGGCCCTGCCTCGGCGCGGCCGCCTTTCCCACGCTTTCCAGCCGCAGCTCCCGGGGAGGGGAGGGGAGGGGAGGGGAGCCAGCGGGGGCAGCAGCAGCTGGTGCCCGCGGGGAGGGGGGGGGCACGCGCGGCACTCTTCTGTGCCTGCTTAGCCGGGCCTGTTGCGGGGAATACGCCGAGGCCGTCTGCAAAGGGGGTCCGGACATGCCCTCCCTGTGCCAAGGAGAAGGGGTCTCTCTGCCCCTGCCAGCATCCAAGGGTAGGGTGGGTAGGAGGTTTTCCAAGGGTCTCCTTCTCCTGACTGCTCCTTCCTTCTCTCCCAGCCGCTCTCAACACGGACCCTTCGGTGCTGGGCAAGTACCGGGCCGGCTTCAACGAGTGCATGAACGAGGTGACCCGCTTCCTCTCCACCTGCGAGGGGGTGAACACCGACGTGCGCACCCGCCTGCTGGGCCACCTGGCCAGCTGCATGAGCCAGATCAACGCCATGAACTACCCCGCCCCACAGCCCCCCTCGGCCGCCCCGCACGGGCCCTCTTTCGGGCAGCCCTTGGTGCAGATCCCTGCTGGAGCGGCACCCCCTGCTGGCAGCGTGGCACCTTGCAAGCTGGGGGAAGCGGCGAAGGTCTACGGAGGCTTCCAGCTGGTGCCGGCCTCGGATGGGCAGTTTGCTTTCCTGATCCCGAACACGTCGTTTGCGCCCCACGGTGGGGCCGTGATCCCCCTCTACGCCGGTGGGGGCATGGGCCCTGGGCTGCCCCCTCCCGCCGTCTCTCCCGCAGCAGGCGCCCCCTCGCTCACCGCAGACTCGGTTTGGAGACCTTGGTGAGACTGGCATGGCCTCAGCTTCCCCGACTCCTGGACTTGTCCTCCTGCAGAAGCGTCCGGTGGCTCTCTGCTGACCGCCTGTTTGCTCCCGCGCTGTAAATATTTCCTGTTCCTACTGGATTGTGCCTTCTCTTGTTCCGTAGCAAAGAGGCTCCCCTTTGATGCACTCTTCTCTTCCCAGCGCTGCCTACGTGGACGGGGTGTGCGTGTGTGTGTGAGAGAGAGAGAGAGATCTCTGGATCCTTTTCCTTTGTCTCGTGTGACTGGTTCCCCCCCCCCCCTTTTTAAGTGACCCCAAAGATTTGTTTATAGAACAAAAAAAACCCCTTCCGTTTTTGGGAAGTTGTTCGACAAAAATAAAAAGATGTGGAGCATCATGTGTGGCCGTGATTGTATGACACCAAAGATCTGTTTATAGAACAAAACAAACCCCTTCCGTTTTTGGGAAGTTGTTCGACAAAAATAAAAAGATGTGGAGCATCATGTGTGGCCGTGATTGTAGGGCAAGCCTGACTTGCCCCCTCCTCTCTGTCCCAGAAAGGCTGCAGCACAAGGAACCCCCCAGTGCAGTTTTCCTTGGGCCTGGTTTTCTTCGGCAGGGCCCTCGAGGCGGTGTTGGGCCCAATTGTTCCCTCTAAGCTGTGGAGTCTTGTGAGCAATAATTCTATTTTGTGAGCTACTGGCTATTAAAGTGGTGAGTGAGTGATTGGGCGGCTGCATAAATCAGCCTGCTCTGGAGCCCTCCTTCCTGAGCTAAGACAAAAACGTGTGAGCCAGAGGCTAAAAAACTGAGCTAGCTCGCATGAACTCAGCTTAGAGGGAACACTGGTTGGGTCCTTGACCGGGGGCTGCAAGGTGGAGGTCAGCCAGTTCACGGTGGTCCAGCACTGGCCATCTCTTGGGTTAGCTTTGTGGGGGCTTGTTCCTGCAGATGTGGCGAGAGCACCCCCTTTAGAAGGCCTTGGGAAAGTGCTGCGATTCACGTGTAAACAGCTGGGGTGGGGAAAGAGGGTGGCGGTGACTTTCCTCCTCCTCGGCTGTCTGCTTGGGCACATTTGGGAAGCTCTGGCCTCAGCCAGCTCTCCCTTGTGTGCAGCTTGCAAGAAGAGTCAGTCCCCTTGAGAGTGAGACTAGAATGGGACTGGCCAATGGGGGGGAGGGGTGCTCCCCCTCAGGAGGGAAGGGCAGGAAAGGATCGGGAGGGTGAACTGTTGACCCAGTGGGAACAGGCTGCCCCATTTTGTGGCTGTAGGCTTGGATCCAAGCTTCCCACGAGGGAGATGCAGCAACACACACACACACAAAGCTGCTTTCTACAGAATCAGACATTTTGGTCTGTCAAGAGCAGTATTGTCTACTCCGGCTGGCAGCTGCTCTGTGGGGTGTCAGGTACAGAAAGGTCTTTCCTGTCACGCCCTAAGCAAAGGCTCTTCCCCGGAGTGTCTCCCCCAGAGACCCCCCATCAGGGATTCAGGGCACGCTTATCTAGTTCTGGGTGGGAGGCTTGGCTTGCAGAGAAACCTGTGGGGGTGCTTTCAAGGGCCTGTTCACACACACACATACACACCCTGACTTCCCCTCTCCAAATAGCTAAGCACAGTTCAGCTTGTGGCCTTGCTCTGGTCTGAGCTGTTTCTTTTCAATCATTTATTAGATTTATATCCCGCCCTCCCCCGTAGGGCTTACCCCACCTGTGGGGTAAGCAGACCCTCCCCCCCAGACATGAAGGGGGAAGGAAGAGAGAGAGCTGCTAGCAGAGGGGGAAGGCTTTCTTATTCAAGAGCTCTCTCAGCCCCGCCCCACCTCACAGGGTGTCTGTCTGTGGTGGGGAGGGGAAGGGAAAGGAGATTGTGAGCCGCTCTGAGACACCTTTGGGTAGTGAAGGGCCATGGGGTATCAATCCAGTCTCCTCTTCTTATTCTAACACAGCATGGAGAGCGCGATGTGGACAGAGAGGCGGGGGAGCTGCTGGATGATGGGGGGGGGGGGACAAGGTAGTGCTTCCAGTCATCTTGTGGGCGAGGAGCTGAAACTCTCTTCTCCCAGAGGGGTCCGCTCTTGTGTTCCAGGAACATTTGTCGCCCGCGCATCTCTCACTGAATGGGGTCTGTCTCCCTGTTGGTCTGAAGCAGCAGAAGAAAGTTCGAATCCTGAACTGTGTTCCCTCTAAGCTGAGTTATGGTGAGCTAGCTCACAGTTTTTTCGCCTCCGGCTCACACATTTTTGTCTTCGCTCAGGAAGGGATGGGGCTCCAGAGCAAACTAAATGTATGCAGTAGCCAAATGGCTCACGGCTCACAACTTTAATGCCAGGAGCTCACCAAGTAGGATTTTTGCTCACAAGAAGACTCCACAGCTAAGAGAAAGCCATTGGTCCTGAGGCACCTTTAAGACCAACCCAGTTCCATGCGCCTGCACACAAAAAGCTTCTACCCAGAATAAAACTTGGTTGGTCTTCGAGGTGCCTCAGAACTTTATTCTGCTGTCTGAATAGCGTGGAGCTAAGCCACCACTGAGCCCCTCTTCTTACAGGGACTTTATGTCCTCTGTCTTCTAAAGTGGCTTTCCCGCCCCCTCCTTTCGGCTCCCCTGAGAGCTGCCCCCCCCCCAGTGCTTGGCTCCCTAACTTGTTCCGCCTGCTTTGTGAGCCCCCCCCCCTCCCCGCACGCAGGCAGGCACACACCCGGCCTGGGCTGTGATGATTTAACACTCTCTCCCGGCACATCTGGCGGGGATGAGGGGCAGCTTCCTTTGCCCTAATGTGGAAAACATGTGGAGGTGAAGGGAGCAGGCAGGCTCCAGCCCCCCCCCCCTCCGGGAGCGAGATGGGGGAGCCAGATAAAGGGCCGCCACCGGCTCAGGTTTCAGTCCCGGAGGCCCCCACAGCCTGCCTGCCTGCCTGCCTGCCTCCCTCCCTCCTGAAGGCCACAGACAGGCCCTGCTGGGCTGGGGGCTGCCGGGAATTCCTGGCAAATCCCCCCAAAGGCCTGCCGGATTCCAGACGACGGCCAGGTGGCTGGCCGCATTCAGGTGTTGGGGAAAGGAATGTTGGGCTGGGGGCATGCAGACCCCCCCTCCTCCCTCCCCGGGACTGACTGCGGAAGGGCTCTTCTTGGCGAAGAGTCTTGAGGCACAGACAAGCTCTGCCCTGCCCCTCCTCCGAGCAAGCCCTGGCAGGGGGATCTTCCCCACAGACGAGGCAGGCCTCCCCCCTGGAGCATTGCCCCCCTCCTCTTGTGCCTGTCATGTCCCCTCCGCCCACATCATCATGGCCCCTGTGCCTCCTGTGCCCCCCCCCCCGCTTCACTGGAGGCAGGGCTGGGGTAGAGGGCTGCCCCCCCCCACACCTGCCGGTGCCCCCTGGGTTCGGATAGGAAGAGGCGGGCATGCGAGCTCTGGCTGGAGAGAGCCTGTGGGGGGGTGGCGAGGGGACTGGGGAAAGCCAGCCTGTCCCGCAGGGGAGGGGGCAGCGGGACAACCAGGCCTCTGCCAGCACAAACCCACCGGCCTGGCCCTGGGACTCAGGCTGACTGCCTCCGAGCGGGGAGGCTCCCTTCAGTCCTCAGGGCTGGACCTCTCCTCCTCCTCCTCCATGAATCCCCTCTTCTTGGAGCGGGTGGGATGAAACGGGGTCTCATCTCTGGTCACCCTTGGGCTGCCTGGAGGGACCCCGCCGCTCGTCCACATGGGCCAGGGTCGCCCGGATGACGGAGGCTAGAGGGGTGTTTCTGGGGCAAGCGGGGAGTTCCAGAGAGACCCAGCCCCACTGCGGTTCTTCTGAGGAGAAGGGAAGTCATCGGCACCCACCGGCCCAGTCGGCGGTCTCGTGGCCACAGGCTGGCAAAGGCATGGCGTGAACCGGAGCTGTTGGCAGCGTTGGGGGTCTCCGCTCTCCGGCTGAGGACGGGCAAGGATCCCTGCTGCTGACCTCAGTGGAGGGATTCCCCTGCGGCGGGGGGGGGGGGGGGGCCTGGGGCGGCGTGGGGAGCCGCC